TTAAAACCATTATCCCTCCTCCTACCAATTTTCTATCAATTTTTACCCCTCGTCCTATATAATTTTCTATGATTCTATCCTGGAGGGGTTCAAGGCCAGGCTGGATGGGGCTTGGAGCAACGTGGTCTGGTGGGAGGTGTCCCTGCCCATGGCTGGGGGGCTGGAACTAGGTAATCCTTAATGTCCCTTCCAACCCGAACTATTCTGTGATTCTTTGATAATTGAGCAAATTTGTAAAAAAAATACCCATCAGCACCCTGTTACTAATAACAATGTGTGGCTTTTGTATATCACCGCCTGCCATTAGTTTTTAAAACTCTTTATAAAAGTGGGAAAGGGAGGCACAAGAGAGGTGATAAAGCTTGCACGGGGCTGCTCACCAGGTCACCATCAGATGAAGAATAACTGTCGGTCCCAGTTTGATGAGTCCCAGTTCCACCTCTGCTGGCTGGAACAGGAAAGCTTAACGGTGAGCTGCTGTGAGCACATCTAGAGCTAAAGGAACCAGCTTAATAACACCAAGCTCCAAAAATTCGGTAATTTACTGCTTTGAAGCTGTTTTAATGACATGAGTTCTTAGCTTGCCTCGGCCGCAAAATAAATTGGATTTTTACAAATTGCTTTTACCTTGTGTTTTTCACACTGTTGGGCCTCGCCTCCGTAGGAAACGGCGAAATATTGCCGCTATCGACAAGTTTATCTCTTGTTTTGCTTTCTGAACAGTCAGAAAGTGCTCTGTAATTTTGAGCCTTCTTAACTGATGACTCAGTCAGAAACCGAGGATGTAGGTAATGAGAAGTGATTAACATTTGGAAAACAACTAAGGCTAGAAAAAACACTGGCCTTTTCACATTCAGCATTTTCTTCCTTCACACGCAATGCATTTCTTGATTTTATATGAATTTACTGAGAAAAGTTCACCGGTGGGACTTTGCCGTGGTTCTGTATTAACACAGTCAGTCTAAACCATATTATCTTTATTTTCCTTTTTTTAATATATCTTGACATTTTGTTCATCAGACATAAAGAAATGCTGTCAAGTCTTGTTCTCCTTCAGGTGACCTCCCTGGATTAGTCCGGAAGATCCAAGCTGGCTCTGTGAAGTCATTCTGAGTCCAGATAACTTTTAATTTAGTTTTATGGAAATATCCGTGCTGCTCCCGGGACCAGTTAGAAGACCTTCCTCACTGAAGCCTGCTGGGCTCGATGTATCTTCTGGGAGTCACCTCTGATCCTCTGCAGGGACGACCTTGGTGGATCCATCCCAGCTGATCAACCGCCGCAGAGCTCTGGCCTTCGTTCAGGTTACTTATGCTTTACAGGACTCATTATTTATGTGTTTTGGGGTTTCTTTTTTGCTTTGTCCATGGTGTGTCAAGTCATCCCATTTTTATGGGTCATAGAGAATTGATTGTAGGTTAATCTGAAGAAAATGGCAACAGTGCTGCCATAAGTACAAGCAGAATTTGGCTTTTGGACTTTCTGGACCTCTCTCACATATTTTCAAGTCCGGGTCTTCATTCTTAATAAATAAAAAAAAGAAGTATTCTTGGAAATCGTCTTAGGACATCTGTAGAAATGTAGCAATGGCAACTTCAGACACTTCATACAGAACCGGCTCATTTTTCACATCTCTCTCCTGTTCCCTGTGCCGAAGGAAATGAAGCGTAAACCATTTTCCTGAGTACACACATATGTACATACGTGAGTGTCGTCATGCATCTGTCCACCTTGTCCACAATAACTTTTCACCCAAGGGGCCAGTTCCATCCACAAAAATAATTAAAGATCTAAAAAAAAATGCCAACTTGATGTAATGAAGTTTAATGAATATAACTGCTGAGCAGGGCTGAGGAAGCAGATTTGTGCTCTCTCTGATCTGTGGTGTTAGCAGAGATTTCACTGGAGAGCGTGTATGAGAACAGAGGGCATTAATGGGCACACAAACTCAAAGAAAACATCCAGCTAAAATCTACACCTTAGTAGATAAATTTTGTTAAAAAAGAAAAAAGAGTTTGGGGGATTATCTTGCTCACAGAATGATTCTACAAAGACAAGGGCCAGCTGATAAACACCTCAGGTGCAATAAAGCTGATATTCTGCTAGAGCATCATGGTTAGAACTGACAATTAAACCTCAAAAAGGTTATTTTATTTCTTTAAGCGGCAAGGCTGTACTGCCTGTTCCTATTGACCAGAGTAATCACATTAAAAAGCACATTTCCAGATGAGTTTGCAGTGGTGTCTCTGACCTGTGAAGGAAAACTTCAGCTTCTGGCACTAACCTGGTCTGCACCTACTTCCCTCCGTTTTAGGCTGATGACATTTATTTTTATTAGGTAATACTACGCAGAGATGCTGCTGCTGGCCTTCAGCTGGTTCTTGTTTAAGAATACATCAAAGAAAAAAAAGAAGGAGAATTGTTCTAGCTCTCCTGTACTGCTCAGCATAATTGTTTTCAAGTACTTGAGATTTATACCGCTGTGAAGAACAATAGGAGATTGCAAGTGAGAAAATGCTCATCGGTGATCACAGGGAAGAAACATTTTTATCTATAGTGGGGTGGAAAGAAGAGCACTTGCAAGTCTGGAAATAGGTGCTGTGATTCAACGCACACCATCCACCCGCCTTGTCTTCACCTCAGCAAACGTCCAGCTGTTCCTGGGATTGTAAAAGCAAGCTATAAAATGAGATTTTTTCTGGGAGAAAGCAGCATAAGGAGGAGCCCTGCAATCCTCTTCATCAAACTGTCTGTCCCCTGGGCGCCCGTTTGCTTCACAAAATCAGGAAGCGTGCAAGATGAAGCGTGGAAAACAAGTGCCTGCAGCAAAAAACAAAGCCCTGTGAGATGCAGACCTGACAGAAAAAGCTCGTCCTGACGGGCTTTAGTATGATTTTCCAGTGATCACCTTGCAGTTTTATGGATTTTTTTTTTTTTTTTTTGCTTTCGGGCCATTAACACGCACCCACAAGCAGACAGATGCGTTGTTTTCAAGCTTCAGCTGCACCCCAAAAATATTTTCTATTTTTAATCTCATCTAAGGACTTTTTAAAAGAGATATAATTATGGCTTTGCTGGGAAATCATAGAATCACAGAATGTTTCGAGTTGGAAGGGTCTTTAAGGATCATGATGTTCCAAACCCCTGCCATGGGCAGGGGCACCTCCCATCAGACCAGGTTGCTCAAAGCCCCATCCAACCTGGCCTTGAACACCTCCAGGGATGGGGCAGCCACAGCTTCTCTGGGCAACCTGGGCCAGTGTCTCACCACCCACAAGAGTGAAGAATTTCTTCCCAATATCCAATCTAAATCTCCCCTCTCCAAAAAGTGTCAGTTTGGGGAGGAGGTGGTTGTGGATGTTAAAGGAGGAGCCGCTGCCCGAGCGCTCGCACATCATTCATGGTGATGCTCACCCACACACACTCTTTCCTCTTTCTTCAGGCTTGACCAGAGGTTTCCTGTAGCAGAATCAATCAAATCTCTGATCAATGCTTATAAATCCTTAAAGGGAGGGAGTCAGGAGGACGGGGCTGGTCTTTTCTCAATGGTGCCCAGTGACAGGACAAGAGGAAATGGGCACAAACTTGCGTATAAGAAGTTCCATCTAAACATGAGGAGGAACTTATTTACTGTGAGACTGGTAGAGCCCTGGTAGAGGCTGCCCAGAGAGGTGGTGGAGTCTCCTTCTCTGGAGACATTCAAAAACCGCCTGGACAAGATCCCGTGCGACCTGCTCTAGGTAGACCCACGCCGGTGGGGGGGTTGGACTTGATGATCTCCAGAGGTCCCTTCCAACCCCATATGATTTTATGATTCTCCAGATGTTGGATTTCATAAAATAATTAATTTAGTTGGGAGGTACAGCAGCAAGGACAGCCCAGGCTGGGTGCCTCCAAGGAGAGGGATGCCAAGCAAAGAAATCTCTGGGCAATGATACCTTCGCCATCTCCACACGCGCCCCTCATGCGCCTTGCAGATCATCCAGTCCAACCATCAACCCAACGCTTCCAAACCCACCACTAACCCACGTCCCTCAGCACCTTGTCTGCCCAGATTTTAGATACCTCCAGGGATGGTGACTCCATCACTTCCCTGGGCAGCCTCTTCCAAGGCTTGACAACCCTTTTGGTGAAGAATTTTTTCCTAATCTCCATCCTAAACCTCCCCTGGTGCAACTTGAAGCCGTTTCCTCTTGTCCCATGGCCTGTTCCTTGGGAGAAGAGACCGACCTCCCCTGGCTACACCCTCCTTTCAGGGAGTTGGAGAGAGCAAAAACAAGTCCCAAACTTGGGGAAAAAACACTAACGAAATGTTTTTCTCACACTAAAACCCTAAACGCAGCACTGCGTCTACCGCTAGGAAAATTACTGAGACAATTAACTGTACTGCGGCCTAAAGGCTTCAGCAAATCTACCCGCTCCTGCTGAGTACAGCTAAACCAACAGCGTAAATGACACCACAGTATAACCCTGAGCAATTTATTCTAATTAAAACTTACTTATTTATGCTAATGTCCCTCAGCAGCAGGGAGCGAAACCCGCCCTGAGGCAGCCTGGGTTTTACGACCTCGTTGATCACGCAGAAGCGGTTTGCACGGCATCACCGCTACTCGTTTTGAAGCCGAAAGCTGGAAAGGGCCAAATGACGTCAGGGCTGATGTCAAGCCCCGCCAGATTTCTTTAAATTTCGGGGTACGTGCCAACCCTCCCGCCCAAGCGGACAACGCGCGGCCGGGGGTGTTTTGTCCCCTCTCGCTGCCCGTCCCCATGGCGGGCCCGGCCAACGCCGCTTTACCCCGCCGCCTCGCCGCCAGGACTACAACTCCCAGCATGCCGCTGCGCCGATGCGCATGCGCTCTGCGCCATCTTGACCCCCTTCGTTCTGCCATCTCCTCGCTCGCCGAGGAGGGCAGGGGGAAAGGGAACTACGATTCCCGGCGTACACCGCGGCGGCCCGCGCATGAGCAGTGCGCGCCGCCGCCATCTTGGCCCGGGGAAGCGCCGCCACAGCCGCCACTAAACAAACCCGAGAGCGGCACCGGGAGGGGGGGGAGGAGGGGCCCTGCCGCCGAGGAGCCTTTCGATGTGCCAGGCACGGCCGGGCAGGTGGGTCCCGCTCCCCGGTAGCCCCGTCTGCGTTTCCTCGCTTTTACCCTGGGCTCTTTAACCCCCTCAGGGAGAGGGGCAGCTCCCCGTCCCTGGACGGCGGGGACCCGCCGCCCCCTCACGGGCCCGGCCAGGCAGCGCCCCGTCCTCCGCCTGAAGAGAAGCAACCACCGCCGCCCGCTTTCTCCCTTCCTTTCCTCCCGCCGGTGAGGGCCCTGGGGGCTGCCGCTCCCTTCCCTCCTCCTCCTCCTCCCCCCACCGGAGCCCGGCGGGGACCGAGGGCCGGAGAGTCCCTGGGTGGCGGCTGCCTCCGGCCGCCCTTGTAGGATTTTCCCTCCCTCCCTCCTTCTTTCCAGCCGGGCGCTGGAAGGTGAGACGGCGCCGGGGCTTTTGTTCCCGGTGCCTCCCCCTTTCCACCACCCCCCTTCCCCCCGCTGTGCCGTTCCCTGCCCGGGGAAGGCGGCGCGGCCGCGGGCTGGCACAAGCCGGCTCTCCCCGCTCTCCTCCGGCTTCTATTTTCTTTAATTTTATCCTCCCCCCCCTTTATTATCCTCATTGCAACGGGGGGGGATGCGCCCTCCTCCTTCCCCGCCACCCCCGGAATCTCGCCTAGATGCGATCGGGCGACGGGGGGTGTTCCCCTGTTTGGGGATTTATTTATTTTTTTTTTTTCTGGGGGGAGGGAAGGGAGGGGTATTGATGTCGGTCCGTGGAAAGCGAATTTTCACGGTGTTTTTGCTATTCTGTCATATAATAGGCTAGTGCTAAATGTATTCCCCGAGGGGAAGCGGGGGGGGTGGGGGGGGGGCGTGCGGTTAGCTGGAAGAGTTCTTATAATAGGTGCTCTGTGCATAAAGAGAGGGAGGAGACTCGAACATCAATTCGGGGAGCGTTTCGGCATGGAAAAAAAAAAAAGAAAAGGCTTGAGAAGGAGGTAGGAAAGTCGGTAAAAAAAGCTTGGTTGATGGATCCGAGCAGGAGAGTGTAGGAAGTCCGTGCCCTTGTGAAACTGGTGAATTCCTGCATGGCAAAGCGTGCCATTACAGAGGCAGAATGTGTCGGTGGAGTTGTGAGGAGGAAGAGGAGAGTTAACGTTAATCGGCTTGGGAAATCAATAAACGATGGGCTTGAGCTCACTGCGTTTGTATTCCTTTTTTCAGCGAGGCTGAGCTCTGTGGGGGTGCAGAGGCAAGGGAAAGATGCCTGTGGTGTGGCCAACCCTTCTGGACCTCAGCAGAGATGAATGCAAGAGGATCCTTCGCAAACTGGGTACAGTAAGATGCAATTTGTGGGTCTGTATGTTTGCCCTTTTAAGATTTGCCTGGCTGCTGCTTCCACGAAATACTTTAATATGTCTACAGGCAACTTACAAGTCATTTCCTGCGTTTTTTGCATGTGTCATTGGTTTGACAGCCCTGGCTTAAAATGATGTTTGGCAGATGCTCTCTGCCTGAGCAAAATGAGTAGAGCAGAGTCGTTTTGGTTTGGTAGAATCTCTCATGGAAGTCCTGGTCCATCTCTGCCTCCATGTTGCAGTGTTGTGCTGCTGTTCTTTTCACGACTATTAACATGCAGTGGGATAGACTGTGAAAGGAGGGTCTTTGTTTTTCAATTCTGTATTAGACACCTTTTTCTACCCTAAAAAAATGATGGAACCCTGGTTTAACTGGCACTGTGGGACTGAGTTCAAGTAGTAAAGGTGCTATCATAAAGACCTGAACAGAAGAAAAAAGGTAGTTTGTGATTTGCGGTTACGCTGTTCGATAGGGAAATGTGAAAACAATGTTCCCAACTCATAACAACAGGAGCTTTTTGCATTATTTCAAGCGTAGCTCACTATCTGAGAGCCCTGCCCAATAGAGATATATTGGGAGGGGTTTTTTTGTGCTCTGTCCTTGCAAATGCACGTGTACAAGGAGACTTGCTTTTGTATGTTGGAAGGTAATAAAAATATGTGCTCTTTCCTCATCCACTTTTGGCTGCCACAGGAGAGAGAATCCTTTGTTACACCGTTGATCTGATCTTGTGCAGTGATTTTTGAGTTGTTAGTGCTGAAATTCTTCCTATTTAGTTAAGGATTTTTTGCCAGTTGAATTATGTGGGGAAAAAAAAAAACAACTTGATTTCTTTTCAGACTTTCTTCTGAGGAGCATAATTTAGGAGATGATGTCAGGAAGAAAGTTGAGACTGCCTCTAACTTCCTGTGACAGTCAAGTCGCAGCTTTTCTTGTTCTCATTTTACTTGAATGTTAAAAGATGATGTGCTGCACTTCTTAACTGTGCCAAGGTTTTCATACATCGTGAAGCCATCCGCTTGATTTTTGGAGAGCTGAGAATTTATTTTCCTTTGCTTTGCCCTTTTTCATTTTGTTTCTCGGGAATCTGGGATTTGCATTCTCTTGAAACAGACGGTGACGCAGATGTTGCAGACGACATTGCAACGAAGCTGTGCGTCCATTAAGGTGACAGCCCTGGCTTCTTAAGCGAGGCTCAAGAAGTACGAAAAAACTAGGAGAAAGTGCAGGATGCCAAAAGATTTGGGCCGGATCTGTGCTACTATATTTTGTTAACGTAGCTTCTCTGGCTGGGAGCGTGGAAAAAAAAGAACTTCCAGCTGCCGGCGGTTGTGCTGGCAGAACCTTGGTTGCAGCTGAGCCAAACAAGAGCTGCAGCTACACCTCCTTCAATGACATAACCTAGGCTGACGGAAAAAAAAAATAATAAAAAAAATGTCTTTTTTTTTTTTATTTTTGCTGGCATGAGCTGTGTCCCCACAAGGGGGCCCTGCCAGCGTTAACAGAGGATCAGAGCCTGGAGAAGCCGTGTCTCTCCCAGGGTAGGGAAACTCTCAGTTTAAATAGATCAGAGGATGAAGGAGCATGGGCAGTGGGAGTGGATATCTGTCTAATGGTCACATCCAGCAGTATTCATCTGCTTGGTAGAGTCCCACTTTACCATCTCTCATCCCAGCGTCTTCTTTGGTTGACCATTGGGCAATAGGGGGGTCATTCTTCATGGGTGAGGTGCAGTGGTGTAGATGAGGCTGAAATGCATCCCGAGGTGTGCAGCACCCAGCGTTGTTCTGTGGCATCCATGGCTTATACGTGACAAAGGGGATGATGAGCACCTTATGCTCAGAAATAATGATATTTTTTTTGTGAAACCTGGTTGGTGTTGGAAAGAGAGTGCATCAATTAGTGATTGCTGCATAGACATAAGGGTGAAGAAGCTAGTTACAGCTGTTCTGTAGTCTTTGCTAGCTATTCAGTAATCTTTACTAGCATCCAAAAGGCCAGAATGTGCATTTTTAAAGCCCTTGTGTAGAGGATCTCTATTAAAAATACAGAAAGGAAAAAAAAAAAATCCATGCTAAATAATTATACGAGTGTAGAGGATCTCTATTAAAAATAAAAAAAAAATCCATGCTAAATAATTATACGGTTGTATTTGAGAATTATTTTATGTTGTTAACAGAGGAAAATAATTAGTATCTTAAATATTGTAACATGGTTGTCTAAATAAATGTTGATATTAGTAATAACCATTGCATTAATTAGCAAATGTTTTATAACTGAAGCTGCAAATGCTTCTGTAGGTCACTCAGCATCCCTGTGCAGGCTGCATAGTTAAGCAAAGCGACTCTGCTTTGTGTTTTGTCTGCTTTAATCAGGACAGGGGAGCAGGACTTCTTTTCAGCACAATTCCTTGATTTGATTTGTAAATTAGCTCTTTGGAATCCTCAACTGAAAGCTTTTCAGAGCAGCATCGGTCTTTCTTTTGCAGCAAACTTCAGAGGTGTTAGGTTTTTACCCTGCCCCTTTTATTCTTGCCTTTTGATTCACTGGGATCTGTTTTGGGGTTGGTTTGGGTTGGCTGCCGAAATGGGGGTGCGGAATGAAAGGCACCCATGTAAGTATCGAAAGAATTGGTATTTCTGGCTTAAAGCAGGAGTTTCAGTAACATTTCCTTAAACTGTGCTAAGATTAGAACAGCAAGTCATTCTCAGGCAAAATTAACAGACTCTATTATTTGCATTAGGTGTAGCAGGACAGAATTTCAGAAGTTTCAGTAGCCTTCAACTATTCTATTTTTCAAAACACCGATAGCAGGGCATTTACATAGGTCACCTGGAATTACAAATTTATGTTAAATCAGAGTTGAATTTTTGTGAGTTAATCTTAGCGATGGGTCTACATTTAAGAATAGCTGGATTGATTCTTTTGTGTTGAGCGGGTTTAATTCAGTGTATTGCATTCTTTTCAGATTCAAGCAGTTTTATGTATCAAGTAAATTGGCATAAAAGATTATGATGATCGTATTTAACAGACTAGAGCTGATGTTCTCCTGCTAATTAAGCAACAGCATTACAAAAAGAATCAGTGGCTCTTTTTCAAGCCAAGCTTTTACATGGAACTTCTAGTAATGATACCCGTTAAAGATTTTTCTTCTCCTGCTTCTAGAGAGTTCTGAGCGACACTCCAAATTTGGGGACTCTTTCTTCAAGCTTTCTGGCTGAGCTGTCAGCTCAGAGCGAGCTTGAAATATTCGGTTGGGTTTATAAACCAGATAATCCTCTGTGATGATACAATTGTTTAATAGAAAAGCTGTACGCTGCAGAGTAATTGACTGAGGGAGTTCTAAATCATCAATCTTCTTTGAAAAGCACTAAATAATTGAAAGACATGTTCCTCGTAATGCTTTTGAAAATTAATAGAATACTGTCAGTAATACTGAAAATAACATTTTTTTTTCCCCCTTGCTGTGAATGTTAAATAGAAAATATTTGCTCTAATTCTTCAGAACTGGAGGCCTATGCAGGTGTCATCAGTGCCTTACGTGCGCAGGGAGACCTTACGAAAGAGAAGAAGGATCTTCTTGGAGAACTCTCTAAAGTGCTTAGGTAACCCCAGCCTTTTTAAAATAAGAACCAGTGACCTGTTTTTTTTTTTTAAGGTATTGTGGGCTTTTTCTATCGCCAGGATCACAAAGCAAATCTTAATTTAGAGAAGCAATTCTCCCATCTTGTGGAGGTTTAACTCCTATTCTGCTTTGAGTTTTTAATAAGGAAAGCAACTGTGCTTGAAGCTTTACTGTTTTGTTGGTGTTTTGTGAGATACTGAGTGTTAGAAGGATTGCAGGTAGCTCATGGGGGTCAGCTACCTTGGAGGTCCATCAAGGTAGGACTTCAAGGTCTTTGGGCCCAAGTTACATCACGAAAACTTGGCACGGTTTTGCAAGTTTTCCTACCATATGCTTAAACCCAAGTTACATCACGAAAGAACTTGGCACGGTTTTGCAAGTTTTCCTACCATATGCTTTAAATTTATTGCTCTCCTTTGGAGGTTGGATTCTAGTTGTTTCATAGGGGTACCTTATGAACTGTAATTTTCTTTTCATTCTTCAGTAATACATTCATTCTTTCTCACTGTGATAGCAGAAATTAAGTGACAATCTCTTAAATGTAAATGCCTGTTCCCGTTCGTCTCTTGAGCAGATTATTCACAAGTTTAATTTTAGGTAGAAGTTTTAGATAAATGTTCATGTCTCCCTCTGACTAAAATATATTGCTGTTTTTTTTTAATAGTATTTCAACGGAGCGACATCGTGCTGAAGTTCGGAGAGCAGTAAATGATGAACGACTAACGACTATTGCACACAAGTAAGTTACAGGTCATTTTCTGTGTGATTTCCAAAAGTACCCTTTGGAAAATCCATTATGCCTTAACTGAACGATAGAACTTTGAGGATTGATGGTGCTTTAAAGAATGGTAGTTAAAACAGCGTATGGATGAAGGAATTAATGTATCAGATTTACATCAGGGAAGTGGAAACAGTTATTTAGTTTTTGGATCTGAAGGCATCTTGTTCACTCTGTAAGTATGATATAAGAAACAGGCTTCTGTCATAAAGAGCTTTCTGTAAGACAGACCAGGAGAAAAAAGAGAATTTCATAAGCAGGATGAACGTGTTTGCTTTATTATTTTTTGGTTTACCTTCAATTTTATTTAAATCCGTTTGGCAAGGTTATATTAAGAGGGACTTAACTCCATAGAAAGACAAAGGGAGGGAATGAGGTGGCAGAGATTAGTGGAAAACAACATAGCAGCACAGAGGGGAAAAAAAATGGTCAGAGTTAAAAAAAAAAAAAACTGCAGCAAGCTGACTGGTGACATCAGTGTCCCCTGTTCTCTGCCTGATGCAGCTGCTGTGCTGGCATCAACTGGGCTGGTTCCTCCTTGTGTTTGCTTTTGCAAGTTCCACATGATTTTGGGAGGTGGAGAGGAGCAAGAGGGCAAGTGCTTGTGTATCTTTGATAGCTACTTAACGATCTTACTCTTCAGAACTGGCTTTAAACAGAGATGGATTGCAAGTGTGCGTATATTATTTTCTTTTTCTGTGTTACAGCCAGTGATTTTTAAGTTTGTTGTAGCTGAGGGGTTTTGGGGACAAGAAAAGGAAGTCCTGCTTGGAGTTAGCAATTGTGTGATCCAAGATTTGCCAAAATCAGCATAATGTTTTAGTGCAGCAGAAGGACATTTAACGTTTTAGTGTTCTAATATTCAAGCTTAGAGAGTTAGAAATATGCTGTTTGCAAAAAAACCCCACCAACTTTCTTATACTCCTTTACAGAAAGGGGAAAAAAATAATGAAAATAAGCATTTAATTCTCATATCAGGTTTATTTTCTTGAATTGACTTTCCTTTTTAAGCAGTAGTTCTGGTTTTAGGGTTTTACAGAAGAAGCATAAGGTTTGTCCTGAAGTGTTGAACTTCATATGGATGAGATATATTCCAGACAAGGTGCAATTGTGCAGTGCTGCATCTCTTTTATTTTTTTCCTGTGGTAATTCTTTGTAAGTGCTGGTTGGTAATACAGTATTTAACTTAAATAATTCTCTAACTCATTAGGAAAGCCGACTTTGCTAGCTTTGCTATATGCAACATCTGTAGTCTTATTTTTGATTTTTAAAAATGTATTTTGACCTCAGCTGATGTAGATCTGCTTGTACTATATGAATATGTATGAAGGATGCTGAAGCGTATCAGGATTTAACACCAGAGCAGATCCTCTGTGTTTTGTGAACTAATTTGTGGTAGCTTTTGCTGCGACTTGCTTGCGATAGTTCACGTGAGAAGTTGTTTTTCGGAATATATTAATACATTAAATGGGTTGATTTGCTTATGAACGTAACAGCATTGAAAAACAATTTGCCATTTGGTTTTGCTGATTTGACAAATGAGTCACGTAAAACAGTCATAAACGGAAACACTTCTCCATCTAGATAAGAAGAGCATTTTCTGGAACTGTTCTGGTTTGTGTGTAAATTCTAAGAGGAAAATGAGAGCAGCAGGTTGGTGGCAGTTGAGGAAGGTGCTACAGGGTGTATTTAAATCATTTCACGTCGTGTTACCCTGTTTGGTACTATTTTAATAAGTCTGAAAAACTTTTCAGGTAAAACAAGGTTTATATTAGAAGCCGAATTTGCTTTGTTTTGTTTTTTTTGCTGTAACATAATCGATTTCAGTAGTCTTTTGTGGAATCTATTGGACATCTTGGCATTTTTGTCATCCAGAAGTAGAGAGTGTAACAACTCTACCTGAACAGTAGCTAATCTAATTATGGGGTTTTGAATATCCACGGCCTCTGGCCCTTTAAGGGCTCCGTGAAACAAAATGGTAAAATGAGATGCAATTCTTAAATTTTCTATGGGAGGATTTCTACATCAGGTGGGAAAAACGTAAGGGCTTTCATGAAATGAAGAAAGTTGAAGATTATTATTCTAGTATGTCTTTAGAAACTGCCTTGTAGGCTTTTACTGTTAGAAAAAAGGTGCTTAAATGAGAGTACTGATTGTTTTGGAAACTGGGCAGAATACTTACAGCAGGTGTATTTCTGTTTAGTATGTCGGGACCAAATAGCTCTTCGGAATGGTCTATAGAAGGTCGTCGACTGGTGCCGCTGATGCCGCGGCTGGTTCCTCAAACGGCTTTTACTGTTACTGCGAACGCTGTCGCCAACGCAGCCGTCCAGCACAACGCATCTCTGCCCGTTCCTGCAGAAACTGGAAACAAAGAAGGTGAGAGAAAGCTTGGGATTCTACTGCAATCTCTGGGAATTTAAAAATAACGTCACGGCATAACTTGCTATCTTAGATTTTAAGTGTTAGATTTTTGTTTTATAAAAATTCTAAATCGTTCTTACTGCACAGCGTCACAGAAATATGAAAAAAATGGGGTTTTTCTTTTTTTTTTCCCTTTTTAGAAAGATGCCTTTGCAGCATCTGCAGCATAAATCTGACAGCTTTGTGTTAGTGAGTGCATTAGCAAGTGGAATTAAAAAAAATAATGCCAGAAAGCAAGGAGGAAATTCACTGGTTAGCTTGAGAAGCTCTGTAAACTATAAAAACTTAGCTTGATGGCTTAAGGTTCTGTAAAGTTCTCTAAGCGATGAAAGGTGTTTCAGAACACTTCATTTTAAGAATGTAAGGAGGTTTTGATGGAAGTCAAGAAAATTTTGTGGGTCTTCTTTTTGTTTTAATTTTTTTTTCCTTCAGGTTAAATGTACCAAGTTATGGAGTTAACAGATTGCTTTCTGCTGTGCTTATGCCTTTTCAATAATGCTAGTACACATTCCATCTAGTGGGGCTGAATAGGCTCAAATTCTGCTTCGTGCAAGTAGAGAATGTGTAACACTTCTTGAAATAGGCTGTTTTATTCTGTTTTTTTGAGAAATACTGGATCATTGTACTATTAGTTATAAGCAACAGTTTAAAACAGCTGATTAGCAAAATCAATTGTTCATTACTGAAGGAATATTTCGGTTTCTTCAGCTGATGTACTGCTGAGGAGAGGCACTAAGTTACTAACAGTTACCAGTCTAGATACGGTGATTTACAGAAAAGCAAAAAATCAAAATATTGAATTAATGCTAAAATGAAAAATAGCAAATTGTAAAGTAAAACAGCAGATCGATACAAGTAAATAAATAAATAAAAATCTAGAATGGGCAGCACAGATGTCTGGGGACGGGAGGAGGGGAGGTTAGATCTCTGTGTTGTCTTTGAAGGCCATTAATTCCGTGGCTATGCTTAGGTCAAACTGGGGAGTATTCAACAATAACAGGATTGCAGAGGCAAAGACGCGGATAATGACCCAGTAAGTCTTTGGCTTCCGTTTCAGTTGTTAAAAATAGTGGTAGAATAATGGGATTCTTCACATCAGTTATTCGGAAGGTGTCTTTTCTCCTCTTCAGTGGTGGTTTGCTATTCCTACACAAGTACCACTTCAACCCCAACATCCACCCCTGTTCCAAGTGGCAGTGTAGCGACAGTGAAGTCCCCCAGACCCGCCAGTCCAGCCTCCAATGTAGTCGTCTTGCCAAGTGGAAGTACTGTTTACGTCAAAAGTAAGTGATACTAGCAACTGATTAACAAAAGGGAAAGAAAGGGACAAGTCTGGTGGCTGAAGCATGGACTGAGTTAAACTCTCTGACCTCGGGCAGGTCATTTTAATGCCTTTATGCCTTCGTTTAGTATAAAGAATGAATTTATTGCTTCCCTTTTTCAGGGAAATTGTGTTCCGGATTAATCCACTCACTGTAAAAAGCTGCAGGGAGCAGTAATGGCAAGGACAAAGGGAGTGAATAGTATTTTGAAAATAAAATACAGACGTTGCTGTATATCAGTGGATTTCTAATCCAGTTTGTCCAGGAGTTGTCTTTAAGGTGGCTCTGCTGATTGCTTCTTCAGAGGACTTCCCTCTTCCTTCTGCTTAAATAATGCACAGTAGTCACTTATTTCAGTTAGAAAAGGTCCCTCCTTTCCACTTTCACAGTTGACCTAGACTTTTTAAGAATATATTAGTTTGGCAAGCATTTATATGTATATTATGTATATATATTACATTAACTGCCTCTGGCCATTTGTGATTTATTTGGAAGTGAATCTTAGTGAGCCTTGTGTTCCAAGGCAACTGTTCAAACTCCCTACAAAATCCCACCTGATACCTATCATCATGTATTTAAATTTGGGAATTCAGGGCATTATGTCTCGAAACAGTCTTTTTTCTTGTCTCCCCTCCCCACTCCCTGCTTTCTTTGGCTAATCAATCAGCTAGTTCTAAAAGCAGAATACATCCTCATACATATGCCCAGCTCATCAAAGGTAGTTTTATTTAACTGATAATTAAAAATGTTTCCTTATTTGGTGTCTATTAAAATGCAGGTGGCAAAGAGAAAGATTAATAGTGAGGTTGATAAGGGCTATTTTTATGCTTGCTGTGGATACCTTTAATATTTTAAAAATTACTATAATCTTTATGCTGTATGTGTGTGTTGGTATAAACTTGTAGCTAATCAGAAATGTCACATTGTACATAAATATAATGTTACCTGCAAACCACCATCTTTAATGTCTGTATCAACGTATGGAATCCATTACATTAAGATTTTTCATTTTTCTAATCTGCACTAATCACTCAGCTCTTGTTTAAAGATTCGGGGGAAAATGTTCTTAACCTCTTAAAAATTTAATTTAGACCTCTATTGAATTATTACATGGTAATGAGTATAAAACCAGTCTAGACACATGATGGAGGATGAAAGGTTCTCATTTTTATTCTGTCCATCCCTAGATTTCCTTCCCCCCCCCCCCCCC